ATGTATAAATGTGTATTTAGACACACACACACACACACACACACACACACATATACATACATTGTGCGTATGTACACCTACACCTACACCCACACCGATGCAAACACACGAAAACCTCGGGTTCAAATCACCGCATTCGCCCAAGCCTTTTCGGGCAACAGGGAAATCCTTCATTGTTTTCGCATCTGTTAAGGATCTGAGAAAGACTTCAATATCTCTTATTCGGTTCTATTCAATTTGCGTCGTTAGGAAGCCTGATATTGCTGGCATTAATTGCAATCACAAAAAAATGGGTATTTATTGACGAGAAATTGCTATTTGGGGGCATAACAAAACCTGGAAGTTTGGGTGGACAACCTCTCCAGCAGCTCGAAAATGCCCGGATCACCATCTGGCAACACCGAGTTTACATAGGGTCCGGCAGGTATTTCTTCTATTGAATTCTAGTATAAAATTCATCCCGAGTCGCCATTCGGATAATTTGTGATGAAAATCCGTGCTATAAATACATCCAAGGCGTGGTTTAAGAAACGAATACTTATTAAGGTAACAGGTGACGGAGAATTTCGTTTTGTAAAGGCGCTGACGGGATGACTTTGAACGATAATATCCATAATCATCCGCGTCCAGATGTAATGTAATACCCTTTTCTCCCATTTAATACATACAATACACACCTAATATTACCCTCATGTGATTAAAAGTCCTCAAATTGCAGTAAGCCACGAGATAAATTTAGAAGAAATGAAAAGTCGTGGTACCATAGCGAGCCACGTCCCATTGTAAACACGAGACTGAACGTCATTAGCATAAACTCAAACCATTGTGAACGGAATGACTCGACGTTCGGCTCGGACTTTTCTGCCGCTAAAGGTAACCCCGAGATCCGTAGAGAGAAATGATGCCTTAACTTTATCTCTCTCTCTCTTTTTTATTATTATAAAATCTTCTGTTGCTTTTTTCCCTTTTGAGTCGTTTCGATCGTTAAGGTTAAGCGAGAGAGAGAAAAAAAATGGGAGGAGCTATTTTTCTTTTCTTTTTTTTTCCCCTTTTTTGGGGTTTGAATGGATTATTGTAGGTCTATCGCAGTGTATTTGTGTGGATGACTGTAATATCTGTTCCCCCCCTCCCCTCTTTGTTACGATGGTTGTAAGTATACATTGATTTCGCTATAAAATTACCTTCGTTGTTTTCAGATCTCTGCACGCTTACAGATAATTCCATCTCCCTCCTCCCCCCTCCCCACCCCATTCTCCGCTCCCTAATCCTTTTCTCCTTCGTCCTTAAATCCTTCTTTTGAATTCAAGTTAAGAGAGAGAGAGAGAGAGAGAAAAAAGAGAAGAAGAAAATAGAAAACGAAAATGAAAATAAAATCTGCAGTGAAGCTCTCCCCCCGTACGTCACAAAGGCTGTATATTCACGAGGAACAAAGTATTGAGGAACGGGAGGTGAAAGTCTTCGAAATCGTACGGGTGGTCACGTGACACGTATCCATATAGGGGAGGAGAGGGTTTGGGAGAGGGAGCAGGAAGGAGGGAAGGGAGGAGAGAAGAAAGGGGGAGGGAAGGGAGGAAGAAGGAAGGGGGAGGAGAGAGGAGGGAAGGGACGAAGAAAGAAGGGGGAGGAGAGAGGAAGGAAGGGAGGAAAAAGGGGAGGAGTGGTTTGTGAGAGGGAACAGGAAGGAGGGAAGGAAGAGGAGGGAAGGAGGAAGAAGGAAGGGAGAGGAAGAAGGGGAAGAGTGGTTTGGGAAAGGGAGGAAGAAAGGAAAGGAGAGGAAGGAGGGAAGTAAAGGAGAGGTGGGAGGAAAGGGAGGAAGTTAGAAAGGGAGGTGGGGTTTGTGAGAGGAAGGAAGAGAGAGAGGAAGGAGTGAAGGAAAGAACGGAAAGGAGAGGAAGGAGGGAAGAGAAGAAGGAAAGACTGAAAAATCGTAGAAGATAAGGCAAGAGGGACGAAGGAAAAGCAGCCTTGGTTACGATTGCTCCCATGGCATCATCCGCCGTGTTTCGTTTCTTCTGCTGCTGCTTCGCCTCGAGTCTCGAACACATTTGCATAAACGAAAAAAATATTCTAAGCAGCAAAAGAAAACAAAATTATCTCGACCTGAAACACACACTAGTAGTTCTAAAAAAGGCCGGACTAAAGAGAGAGCGGGAGAGAGAAAAATGATGACTATTGCTTCATTAGCTTGGCAGTCCCAGAGGCTGGAGATGAGTCGAACCTTCTCACGCTTCTTCATACAGGTTCTCCAGAGTGAAAGTCACCTGCCCTTCCCACCTGTGCCCTCCCTCACTCCCTCCCTCCCTCCCTCCTTCCCTGCTGCAGTGCGTCTTTCTCAGGTACTGGTTGGTGCCTCTGAGCCTGCTTTGATTTTTTGCTGAATTGCGTAGTAGTGTTGTACACGGATAGATAATTTCTTCAAATATTTGCATATCTCTTGTGTTGGATTCATGAGTATCTATCCAATCCAACTGGATATATTTTATTTTAAAAAATGTCTATAAAAAATACTAAAACCTTAACAAAGGAAGAAGCGAAAAAAGAAACCTCAAAGCAAGGAAGGAAAAAATCTCGGTGGGTTGCAAGAACCTGTTTGACTATAAACCTATTACCGTTCGCTGACCGAGCGGCGAAGAAGGCATACAAGCTAGCATTATGGAGGCGCAGGAGCCCCGAGCAGAACCACCCAGTCACGTTCCTGCATAAAGTAACACTGAAGATACATCAGGCTAACATTCTTATGCCTGTGAGAAGACCTTACTGTGGCCTGATTGACTCTTCTTTTACCTGGGGAATAGACAGAAGGTGTTTACCGACAGAGGGGGTTTTGGCGAGGCCGGGATAGCTGGCTAAGAGGGGGGAGGGGGCGGGGGTGTCCTGAAGGTAAGCGGGGGTCGTGGGTCGTCTCTTGTCGTTCTTTGTTGTTCCTTGGTCGTCGGTCTTGCCATCCTCTTTGTCTTTCCAGTTTTTTTTTCCCCCAAGGATGAGATTTTTCCTGGTTGGGAGAGAGAGAGAGAAAAAAAGTGTTTCGTATTCCAATCGAGGGAAACGTGAGGGAGTGATTTCGTCTCGCCATTTTCGGGCTTTAAATGTTTGTGGCTGAAAGCTATGAGGGATCCTTGGCTTTGCGTAGGTGGGAAATACTATGCAGGTTGCTGTTGCTTGGGGGAAATATCGCCTTGTCTTTGTGAGGGAATGGATATTTTGGAAGAAAAAAATATCTAGGTAGTGCACACACTTTCCTTCGGTAAGGAGAATTAGTTTTTTATTTAATTTATTTTTATTTTTATTTTCATATTTTTATTTATTATTCATCTCTTTTGTAATGAGATTTTTTTTTAATACCAGGAAGTATTTTCATTTTCTCTCTTATTAATGAAAATTGTCTATCTCTTTTTGTAATGAAACATATATTGTATTTTCTTTTATTTTCTATTTGTTTATGGGTAACGAAAGACAAATTTTCTTATTCTTTTCTAACGAGGACGCTCTTCCCCCCCAGAGTGCCGGCCATGTTCGGAGGACGAGATACTCCGCCTCTACTGCTCGGGCGACTTCGTGGCTCGAGGAAGCATCGAGCGTGTCGAGGACGACCACGACCTCGCCACGACCACCATTACCATCCGGGCCTCGAAGCTCTTCCAGCAGACGTCGCCGGTGTTCAGACACGCCCACGCCCACGGGAGCGACGCCAAGACCTGGGAGAGCGCGTACGGCATCAGCAACAGCATCCGGGGAGGGGGGGTGGCCGAGTACACGGGCCGCGTCGACGTCCCCATCCAGTGCGGGGCGCGGGCGGGCGAGGGCGAGTTCTTGGTGATGGGCGTGATGAGGCTGGGGAAGCCCATCTTGCGGTGCGCGCCCAGACACGCCGAGTGGGTCAAGATCGCCAAAGCCGCCCGGGCCAATGCCCAGTGTGTTCTGGAGACGTGAGCGTTGTGGACTTGCAAAAGACAGTTTCCGGAGACGTTGGACTTCGTGCAGTTGCAAAAAAAAAAAAAAACAGTTTCTAGAAACGTTAGATTTTATGCTTTTGCAAAATAAGTATTCTAGGAACGTTATGTATTGTGCAATTGTAAAAGATTTTCTAAAGACGTGAAGTTTGTGCAATTGCAAGGGGCATCACGGTGTTCCTAATGTAGTCTTAAAGTGGACGTGATTCAGTTACAAGTGACACTCGAAGATGAGAGACAAGAGGCTCAATCAATTAAGTGATCCGCTGAAAGGAGAAGAGACATTTACAAAAAAAAAAGAATAATAATAATAATTATTATTATTATTTTGGTGCAATAATAGTAGACATTGCAATTAACGAATTTGCAATGCTACAGCAACACTTTTGCTCCCAGTGTACATATATTGAACTTCTAATACCATGGAATCAAGGGGAGTTAAGTTCACAGTTTGAAGGGAAAGGAAAATTCTACAGAGAGGATTAGGTATCCAGTGGGCCCACTTGTACACCTGTGTTTCAAAATCCTGAAACACAGCTACTGTAAACAAAAAATTTGTGAATTTTAAAGGCGCCAAGGGATCTTTAAGTTAAGAAGTCCCCATGAGGCTTTTCACGAGTTAAAAAGTCTCCATGAAGCTTTTCTCGAGCTAAAAAGTACTCATGAGTCTTTTCACGAGCTAAAAAGTTTCCATGAGGCTTTTCACGAGCTAAAAAGTCTCCATGAGGCTTTTCACGAACTAAAAAGTCTCCATGAGGCTTTTCACGTGCTAAAAAGTCCCCATGAGTTTTTTTAAAGTGCTAAAAAGTCCCCATGAGGTTTTTCACGTGCTAAAAAGTCCCCATGCGGTTTTTCACATGCTTAAAAGTCCCCACGAGCTAAAAGCCCACATGGGAACCTTTCTTCTCCAGCTTCGAAGGCCAAAATAGTCCCTTGGTTTTAGTGACTCTGTAATGGTTTAGGTTGTAACCAGTTGCGGTTGTAAGAGTGTAAAGTGCCATAGATAGCACGTAAGGCCAGACAGTCTCTTGTGGTTATGAAGTGATTTTTTTGTGGTTATTGAAATGGTTCTTGATTTTTTTATAAGAAGCAGATTTTGTTCTTATTAAACCGTCTGTGATTTAGTAGTTACTGAAAAGTCATGGACTGATTTCATAGAAGGTTTAGATGTAGGGTTTTATATTCATCCTGACAAAAAGAAAATCATAAATCCTTACTTATTACTCCGTTGAAGCTATCAGCTCTCGAAAAGTGTATTTTTTCATATATATATATATATATATATATATATATATATATATATATATATATATATATATATATATATAATTGTTCCTTTTAAACTTTGTTGAAAACTATTCTTGAAATTGTCCTGTCGACCGCTTTCCAGGGTGTATACAAACCACGGTATGATACAGCCCCCTGCTTGTGTACAAAGCTTAGTATAATTCCTTCAGACTCTTGGAGGAAAAAAAATATATCTCATAGAAGGTCGTAAGAAAACAGTAGTGGTCCTAAGTGCAATGTTGTTTTTTCCTTCCGCTGATTTTAGGGACGCCATTACTTGGTTGGGGTCTGAGAAAGCCTTTCAAGAGGAGACGAGCGAGTGTTTTTGCTCGTCTCTGACATTATTCCCTCCTCTTCTTCCTTCTCCTTCTTCTTCCTTCTTCTCCCTCTTCCTCCTTCTCCCCTCTTCCTCTTCCTAGTCCTCCTTCTTCCCCTTCCTCTTCCTCTTCCTCCTTCTCCTCCATCTTCCTCCTCCTTTTGATGTTTATTTAATATGGTTCAGCAGATTAATTCCCGGCGATTCAGTGTAAAAAAAAAATCAGTGACGCCACAAATTGTCCAGCGGGAAAAAGGAAAATCAGCTTGTGTTAGCTGTTGTATTTTAGGAAACGGTATGAGGTGTCAGTGATTTTATGCGTGTTTTTAAAGACCACACGGATTGTGTTTGTGTCTCGGTCGGATAGGAGATATATTTGGTGTGGATAAAACTTAAAGAACTGTACGTTTTCGTGGGGGAAAAAGCGAGACTTTTATTCTTTAAAGGAAGTCTGTGAACATTTTAGGATTTTTGGTAGTTTGTGAATATTTCAGGAAATCTTTTGACAGTTTATGGACGTTTCAGGATTTTTGACAGTTTGTGAACCTTTCAGGAAATCTTTTGACAGTTTATGAACATTTCTGAAAATGGAGAACATTGAGGCTGCTGGTACAACGTTGCCATGTACTAAGAGAGATTGTATTTCGTCTTCTATGATATTCCATTTTATCACATTATTCCAGTTTCGTCTTACGGAAATTTTTGGTTTATAATTGCCTCTTTTCTCTAGACGGGGGACCTATGGGGCAGTTATTCAAAATGCTTTTTATACATGTGCCTTTTTTTCTGCCATCAGTTATTAATGCGCGATGAGGAACTTAAGCCTTGCTTGTATATCTTAACACTGCTTTTTGGCATCCTGACGTCACTAATAGGCCTATCTAATCCTTGTCAATATTTCTTTCATCTCTATCCATATTTATTGACACTTCGATTGACTTTTCCCTCTGTTATCAATTCCTTAACATTCCTCTGTTTTTTTTTCCAAAGGTGAACCTACACCTTGTTTGTATATATTTGCGTGGTGGAATTTATCTTAATTTTATAGCATAAATCAGGTGAATGTATAATGTGTAATTGTGCGAAACGATGCAAGGGCATACTTACTAAATGATCTCAGTATTGTACAATGTGAGAAATAATTATACATCCTCCATACGCCATCCGTCTAACCTGAATTTGCAACGAAGGTTTAACATACTGCAATAACAAAGCCTCTTGATGCAACAATGTAAACAAAATAACAGATGCTCTCGCGCATTTTTTTTTAATGTATTGTTTTGTCACCCCAATCGTATTAGAACAAATTGCAATAACAAGACCTTTATTTTTGTTGCTAGAACAAAAAAAAAAAAAAATGTTTTACGCATGTTTCCCTCGGAATTCAAACCGCCCCGTGGCACATAACCCAAATGTCTATTAATAAACGTATACAACATATAACGAAACGTAGACAAAAAATAAATAAATAAATAAATACGAGGATAATTTATATACTTCCCTGACATATTGTGAAACTAGTCGAGAGTTTGGAACCTGTTGGAGGGGGTACGTGCTTATTTTTTTGTGTATATAAAGCATTAGTAATAATGATAAAAAAAATATATACGACCTGACCCGTGAATTCATTGTGCCAAATTATACATTTTTTTCTCGAGTCCTTTCATATTTTTTTTAAATATATTTCTTCCATTGAGAAATTGTACTTATGTAAACATTTGATCCTTTTTATATGTATATATTGTGTATGTGATGGAGATTTAAGTGAAATATATATGAACTTCTTCAACTTGGCCTTTTATTGACCGTGTATGATGTATGAAGTATTTATTTCAGATATATATGAATATATTTGACACTACAGTATAATAAAAGTGGAAAAAAAGACTTAAAATATTAAACAGGCCTTCTGTGTGTGTGTGTGTGTGTGTGTCTGTGTCTGTGTGTGTGTGTCACTGTTCCTTACTTAAATAGCAACGTTTTCTTTCGACTTTTACCTGGGAATCCTTTAACTTCATAAACTAAACTAGACTAAGCAAAACAAAAAAAGAAGAAAATATATATATATATTCTTAGGATAAAAAAACAACCGAAAAAAATAGAATAAACTCAAAGAAATCTCTAATAATCAAAAAAGTTTTCAGTATCCATTTGTTCTTATAATTCACTCGACAAGATCCTCTCACTAGGATATATTCAAACAAGCCAATAAATGAATAGATAGATAAATAGATAATGATTGATATTAACAATGATAATAATAATAACAATGATAATAATAATAATAAAAACAGTAATAATAATGATTATAATAAAAACAATGAGTACCTTCACAGCACAACAGATGTATTTCTGATGAAGATTTCAATCAAATAGGCCTACATCTCCTTCTTTCACTTTTTTTCTATTTTAAGATTCAATGAACCCTTTTTTCACTCCATTATTTACGGTGAAGTGAAAGGAGGAAGTGTTTTTTCGTAATTTTTCTTTGTCTTTAGTTCACACAGTTTTTGTTTGCCTTATTTGATTAATGGAAAAAAATGAGCGAAAAAAATGTAATCATGAATAAAACAAAGGTGATCATTAAATCAATCACTGGGTTAAATTAAATAGATTCACGTCAGGGAATATAAACACAATTACAACAGGAAAGGATAAATGAAAATAAATAAATAAATAAATAAAAATATAAATAAAAAACAATATTATCATTACAACTACTACTACTACTGCTAAGATTATAATCACTTTATCATTATTATTATCATTATAACCATTTCTACAATCAATATCATCACCACTAATAACATCATCGTTGCTATTATCATTACTATTTCTCTCTGGTTCATATGAAGAGGACAAAGCAGATATCCCTCGAAACGTAATGATCTACTCGTGAATAGCCAATCTCCCCCAAGTGATTACAAGATACAGATCACCACGTATTTATTCGTCCAATTATACGATTAACTGGAGGCTATGAAACGATAAATCGCTGTAATTATTTTGATTTAAGTAGATTTCATTCGTAGCGAGTCGCGGGGGCTATAGCGTGGTTGTTTCTGTGTCCGTGTAGTATCTTATGTTTTTTTGTGAGTAGGATTTATGTTGAATAAATTGAGCACAACATAACGAAGAGGGGGACCCAGCACATGAATATGCGAAAAGGCCTTAGGCTGATTCGTGTGTTTTCTTGTTCCTCAGTTCGTTGGTTTATTTACAGCGAAGGAAAGAATGTGCGTGTGTGAGTTGTGTTTCTGGTCGTGTGTGTGTTTGCGCGCGTGTGTGTGTGTGTGTGTGTGTGTGTGTGTGTGTGTGTGTGTGTGTGTGTGTGTGTGTGTGTGTGTGTGTGTGTGTGTGTGTACGTGCGTGCGTGTGTGCGTGTGTGTGTGTGTGTGTGTGTGTGTGTGTGTGTGTTTGTGTGTGCGTGCGTCCCTGCGTCTGTGTGCGCGCGCGCGCCTCTTTATGTTTGTGTTAGTATATTTATACTTGAATACATATCTTGCATATGAAAATATATACATTTATAAGGATGCATGCTTTAAGAACATCAAAGTTCCTGAGACACCCACCAAGGATCAGAATACCTGCCCGTACACCCCCCCAAAAAAAGATTTACGAACAGAAGCCAGAAGACTCCACCAACCAATACAGGCACATCATCTGAAGTCATCCTCGCAGTCATCCATCAAAGACGAGGTGGTGGGCGTCGGCGTCCTTGTTAACCTCCTGCGATAACCTGCGCTTAGTGAAGGACCCAGAGTGTAAAGGACAAACAGGATTCAACATCAGGCCAACGACAGGAGGGCAGGTCTTTGGGGGAAAGATCCTGTAGTGTGTGTGTGTGAGTGCGTGTGTGAGTGTGTGTGTGTGTGTGTGTGTGTGTGTGTGTGTGTGAGTGTGTGTGTGTGTGTGTGTGTGTATATGTGCGTGTGTGTGTGTGTTTGAGTGTGTGTGCGTGTGTGTGTTTGAGTGTGTGTGTGTGTGTGTGTTTGTGAGTGCGTGCGTGTGTGTGTGTGTGTGTGTGTGTGTGTGTGTGTGTGTGTGTGTGTGTGTGTTTATATTTGTGATTTGTGATCTTTACAGATGAGGCTATGGAGCTTATCTGCGGAAGAGACAAAGGCAGAGATGAAAACGAGTGAAACAGAATTTGACAGAGTGAAATAAACAGAGACAGGTGGAAACAGACACACACAAAGAGGCAAGCGGAAACCTACAGACTCAAAGACAGACACAATGTAAACAAGTACAAAGATGGAGAAACACTTAAACTAAAAATGATACAATAAATAAGGATATACAGAAACAGAGACAAACAAGACCAGAGAGAGAGAGAGGAGAAGAGAGGAGAGGAGATAGATAGACAGACAGAGACACAATGGGACAGACAGACACAGAGACAGAAAAATCAAATAACCGAGACAGAAACAGAATTAGGCAGATTAAAACAGAACGAAATTAGATAAAGAGAGAAAAACAGAGACAAAAAATAAACACCAAAACATAGACAAAGATTAAAAAAAAAAAAAAAAAACACTCCGAAACAGAACGAATATCAACGATAAAAAAAAAAAAAACAGGAAATTCCAGATATTGGAGAGGAAAATATAGAGCGGAGGAAAGAGCAGAAATCTAGCACGTGGTTGCATGCTAATAAGATTTAGGAAATGGAAAGGGACCAAAAATGGTGAAGGGAAATGCACCGTGAAAAATTGGCCAAAAAACAAAAATACGTCACTCAAATCTGGTGTAGAAAAAAAACAGGGCATCCAAAATTTTAAAATAGATGAATAAATAAATAAAAAACGAATCACGTTAGAAAAGTAAATGGATCATAAAAAAGATGAAAGAAAATGGTTCACACAAAACCGGCGATTTTTTTTTTTTTTTTTGAAAGAATCAAGTTGAAATATTGAAAGAAAACGGAGCACACACAAAAAAAAAACGGTGAAAGAAAACGAATCATGGAAAAAATAATGAAAGAAAACAGATCGCGCACAAATGACGAAAGAAAACGGAAGGGAAAAGGCAATATGACAGTAATTGGTTCTTGAAAAAATGATAAAAAATAGCAAGGAATGTCCGGTATAAGAACCTGCACGCAAAAAGAAGAAATAATTATAGGTATCTCTCTACATCTACATCTGTCTTCTGTCTACCTCTCTATAATGTTAAAAAAACATAATGACGATAACGATGTTGATATTAAGAAAATAATCATAATAATTAGTATGCTTATAATAATAATGTTAATGATGATGATGATGATGATAATGATAGTAATAATAATAATAATGATAATAATAATAACAATAATAATAATAATAATAATAAAATAGTAACATTAATACTACTACTACTAATAAAATGATAATAGTAACAGCAATAATAATACAACACAATAGAAATTAAAAAATAATAATAATAAGTCCGTACCTCCTCGACACAAGATGAAAACCCTAATAAACGGAAGCCTCAAGGGACGGAAGACACGCTCAGTTAAAGCATAAATTTAACAGCATCCTTCTCTGATACATCCTTCAGGGACACAAAAAAAAGAAAAGAAAAAAGAAAAAGAAAAAGAGAGCATGAGAGAGAAAATGGAAGATGGTTTGGCTGCTTTCAACCGGTGACGAGAGAGGGTTGTAATTGCTTCTTCTCTTTCTCTTTCACCCTCTCTCTCTCTATCTATCTATCTATGTGTATATAAATATATATATATATATATATATATATATATATATATATATGTGTGTGTGTGTGTGTGTGTGTGTGTGTGTGTGTGTGTGTGTGTGTGTGTGTGTGTGTATGTATATATGTATATATGTATATATGTATATATGTATATATATATATATATATATATATATATATATATATATATATATATATATGTGTGTGTGTGTGTGTGTGTGTGTGTGTGCGTGTGTGTGTGTGTGTGTGTGTGTGTGTGTGTGTGTGTGTGTGTGTGTGTGTGTGTGTGTGTGTATGTATATATGTATATATATATATATATATATATATATATATATATACATATATATATATATATATATATATATATATATATATATATATATATATGTGTGTGTGTGTGTGTGTGTGTGTGTGTGTGTGTATGTGTGTGTGTGTGTGTGTGTGTGTGTGTGTGTGTGTGTGTGTATGTGTGTGTGTGTGTGTGTGTATGTGTGTGTGTGTGTGTGTATTTATATTAATGAACCCAAAAGAATCCCGTTCCCCCCGGTATATGACTAAATAAACCCACCATAATTGATATCCGCCCTCCCTAATTAACTGCAAAGAGAAGTTCTAAATCGAACCCACAAGAATTATAACTAAACACCAACATAAACCCACAAGAACACTGAATAACCAAATTGCTAAATGGCAAGAGATAAATTCGAAAAAAAAAAAACACTTTAAGAATTATAGCTAAATAACTACACAAACCCACACAAGAATAAGAAATGACTTCAGTGATTTTCTTAATAAAACCGTAGGTAAATACTCGAAAATAATCACTGTAACTAACTAAAGCATCATCACTATATAACGAAAAATAAAAACGACAAGAAAGAAATTCAAGAATAAAACTCACATTACTAAATAACCAAAAAGCTAAACGACAGTAGAGAAAAAAAAAAAGATGAAAATAAATATAAAACTCAAAAAAAATTACGTTATTAAATAACCAAAAAGTTAAACGAAGGGAGAGGAGAATAAAAAACATAAAAAATAACAATCAATAATAAAAACAAAAAGTAGAGAGAGAAAAAAAATAATTAATTA